TTGCTGCCAGTCACAGCRGCGATGCAGCTCCATAAGCCATCGCTTATTTGCTAAAAGTTTACATTTCAAATGAGCTTGAAACGTAAAGGTGGGCTTTTTAATGCTGGGACTGTGCTTAGGAACAGAGAGAGAAAACAGAGGGAAGATGATTGTGCTTGTGTGTTAAAGTCCACCAGGATATTGGTAATACAGCCATTTAAAATGTATTTTGTTTTTCGAGGCAGCTAGGAATGGGAGATACACAACMATATTTGGGGTGCTTAATTTAGGCTTTTTAGGAAAAACATCAAACAGCAGCTTACAGTAACATGCCGAAATACACTGCACATTTTAAATATCTGCAGTTGGAAACGTGTGTTGTGTTTTCCACCCTCCCCTTCTGGGATCACTAACATGCCTCTCCCCAGACAAAGCAAGGACAAGTTCCATCCTTAAAAATTATCTGCCTTRCAGATCACATTCTCAGGCATGTTCCCCGCTTTTTATTACCACGGATAACCTCTTTAATGCTATCACAATTTTATACTTGTTAAGTGGACATCTTCCCTGTATTTAACTGCAAACAAAGCGACTTCATTTTGAGGGGTGGGAGGAAGGAGAAATGCTTTGGGATGATTAGAAACATAAGTTTCTATCTTCTGTCACACCAGCCTATCAATTATTCAAAACCCTACTAAATTTAGATGTCTGTTCCTAAAACGTTGTTTGCACTCGTTCCCCGGGAAGATGGAGGCAGCTGATAATTTGGCTAAATTATGCGTTTGAGCCCAATGGTTACAAATGAAAGAGTTGAATTCGGCAGATTTATTTGCTGCTGATGAAAATTCTTGGTGGCAGGAATTCAGACCTACTCCTTGAGGGAGCAAAGCGAGGGGTGAGCTGGTGCCCACAGGTATTTATGTGGACCAAACCTCATTGTTACAGCTAATAACACCAAGAATCAGCCACTCGGTGGGAGGTTTTACTGATCAATTAGGGACTGGCTACTGGGGGCCACGGGCCTAAAGCAGCCCCTGAGGTGCTTTGTGCCCCAGGTAGTCATTACCTGAGTGTAAAGACCAATAAAGGGGAAATTATTGCTGTTGTAGGATGAGCCGTGAAGGGTGCGGGGTGTTTGACTCTGGATCAGGCAGGGTGGGATGTGCTCACCCCAAACCTGCRCCGTGAGCATCCCTGATGCTGTGATGGTGTAAAATATCTCCCTTTTTCAGCCGTGTCGGGGTGTGATTGGCAGCAAGTCTCCACTGAGTGTGGGCGTCCTCCCGTGCGCACCAGTCACAGGACGTGAAGGGGGAGTTTTGGTAATTTATTTTATATATATATTTTTTTTTTTTTTTTATAAATAGATAGGCTCTGACAAATAACACCGCCTCTTCGCAAAGCTCCTTCGCAGCAGCAAACAGACCTCTGCTGGGTTTATCAGCGGCAGAACCTCCTTTCCTAAAGGAAATCATATTTTTGGTGAAGATAATTCGGCTGATATTGCAATAGCTGAGGGGGACAAAAAGCTGCAGACGCTGCTTCCAGCAGCCCTGGGCAGGGGCGACACYGATTGCTGCACGAGAGCAAGGGGAGAGCTGAAAGAAAAGCTGCTGCCTGTGAAAAATAACAGGATAAATAACCAAATAAAATCAAATCCATGCAACAGAAACAGCGCCTTTTCTGTTGCAACGACAGTAGGTAATTGCCAAAACACAGACGGCCTCAGGCTAAAAACAACAACAAAAAAAAAACCAACACAAAAGTCCCCAAAAAAATCCATAGAGAATTTAATTTATATTTAGAAACCAAAATGTTTCAGGCAAACAGCACGTAAATTGCACAAGCCCTTGTGTTTTCCCCCCTACCCTGACTCTGAAGTTGCCTTGCTAAGGAACGTACCCCCATTTTTACAACTCTGACACAAAAGCAGGCGAGCGGCGATGGGGAGGAGAAAAACCAACCCCCAAAAAAACCCAAAACAAAGGACGTGCGAGGGCTTTCATTTATTTTGATAATCCTCCTCCTGCTCCAGAGCGTTTTGCTGTCTTTGTCAAAGTGAATGACAACAATTTGGCCAACTCTCTCTGAGCTGCACTCAACAGTGACAGGCAAATTATCAGAGGCCCTGCACTCCTTATTATCAGAGGAGAAGTCATCAGGAGGACGTGCGGAGGATCCCTCTCCCCTGTCACTATTTGTCAGTGGGACAAGGGCCACTGCTATGGGTAGCTGACAGGTAATTTCAACAATAACAATTACTCCTATTACTGGTGTCATAAACAATTCGCCCAAGGCATGACAATAGCAAAGCTTTATAATTCAATGCCATATAAATAAATGCCAGCAGGTAACAAGTAATTTAGCTCCAATCAGGCCTTGGCCCTGGCATTAATATTGTTATTGCAAGAAAATGGAAAATTGAAAAAATTCAATATGTTAATGAATTAAGAGGGGTTCAAAGGSTAAGGGAGGGGAGGCATGATACAGGATGGCGGGGGGGGGGAAGGAAGAAAACAAAAACAGAAGATACAAAACCATGCTCTCAGAACCAGCACAAATATGCGTTCACGCAACCTTATAACTAGTTTTTGATATAAAACATGGTCTTGCTATGCTGCCTTTCAGGTTAGGGCAAAAGGCATGCAGGAACCTGAACCCCACCCCTTGCCTCCATCTGCCACGCTGCGAACGGCGTGCATGAAAAAATAAACTGAATTTAATGGTTTTATTAAAAACAGAATCATATTTGAAATCTCATGCAAGGCACACATTTAACAAAGATTAAAGGTTTATTTACAACTCCATTGCTTTATTGTCCACTTCTTGCATGCTTTAATCTTTTTTAAACAAGCTCTGTTAAATCATTGATTCTCTATTTATCAAGAAGAAGGATTTTATTGTACTTTTTCTCTCCCCAAATGCCCTTCATAAGCCACAACACCCTCAACCATTGTATGAAAATGACGATCAGCAGCAAACAAGCTAAAGTCCAGTMTCTTCGAGTCCAACTTCTTGATCAACCCAATTTGCAATTTTACTATTTGTCCAGCAAGACAATGTGGCATCAGGCTGACAGCAGTAAAAGAATTTGAAAATCTCTAATTAGGAGAGCTGCGGAGCAATTAACGCATGTCAAATTTCACTTCATCAAGTGCCACTCTAATTTTCCCACTAAAAATTAATGGACTTTTTTTTTTTTTTTTTGGTGTGCGCGAATGTGTGTCTCTGTGTGTGTGTGTGTGTGTCCCCTCAAGGCAATGTTGATTCAAATCTGCTCAAGATGCAGCGTTGCACAGCTAAGCATCTTCTTGATTACAACCCGACACACTTCTAACTGCTTTCATTCTCACTGCCACAGATACTTTGTCAACAGTCAAATTACGCCATGCTGATAACAATGCATAATGGTCTTCCTCAAAGGAGGCTCCTGTCATGGAGCAGCCTTTCATAAAAAACCCACCGGTTTCTTCTCTGGGAAATAGATCTGGATGAAAGAAATTAAGCTTTTGTGGTTTCAGCCTTGGCTGCAATGTAATTTGCTTTTTCTTTTCTCTTTTTTTCTTCTTCCCTTCGCGCTATAATTTATTTATTTTTGCACTCACCTGAAATTACGGCAGGGAACTGTTTGAAGAGTGATACAGAATGGAAAATATTTATAGTCACTGTTTGTACAGGCTTTGATTTAACCACTTTGCTCCGAGACATTTTCAAGAGCAACATCCTCCTTCCAATATCACTCTTTTTTCTTTTTTTTTTTTTTTTTTTTTCCTTTTCTTTCTAAAGGTGCAGGGCAGCATCCTGCACTCTTTGCATAAGCACAAGCCCCGCTGACGTCAATGTGAGTTTTTCCGGGGCGAGGGCTGCGCGCCTTGGCCCGCTGCTATAAACACGTTGGGACTTTCTCTTGTAATGGATGGTATTTAGATTCGGCGTGGGGCTTGTTTATCAGGCACGGTTTTTTTTTTTTTTTTTTCCAGAGTCCTCAAACATCGTGGGGCACGCAAGACAAATTGTCTTTTTTGTCAGAGCAGCACGGAGGGCAGGAGAAAATCACAGCCAGTTTTTACCTTCCACCCACTGCTCCCCGATCCCCCCCCTCCCTTTTCCTGGGAGATCAATAACAGCAAAAGCCAGAGGGTGTCATGGGGCAGGATTTCCAACAAGTAGAAGTGGAATTAATAAGAATAACATACTTCAGAGATAATATTATCTTTTGCCTGTAAGTTTCAGAGCTGAAATATAGTTGTCTGCTCCCTYGGAGAGAGGAAGGGTTAGCACCCACAGCCCTCTCTATCACTGGGCTTATTGCTGCCAACAGCCCCGGTGACACGGGTAGGGTTTGTAATCCCTGGTGTGTGCATGTCTGTTTACACTATAAAACAAAGCCAAAAACACACACTGCCTTTAATCTGAGCCATCTTTCCATCAATATCTTATTTCTTGCCCCAGATAAATGACTGATGTTGCAGTGCCCGGTAGCCTGGGCTGTGYTCCTGTCAACAATTTTCTATATCCTCCCCAGCCATATTCACCCCCTCCCCTGCAGATATTAACATTTTGCAATTAAATCTGCCTGGCATACTAATAAATGTGCAACTCAGGGTATTCAGTTCCTGAATTCTGAATGTCTCCCTCTCTGTGTCCTCCACCTAGGATGGAGAAATGAGTCTTCTTCTAATGACACAGCCCAGTGCACACACGGTCCTCGAGCATCCTGAGACCGACATGGCATGGCAGCCACCGGGCCTGCAGGTTAATACATGTGTAAGGGCACTTCATTTTTTTTCCTTCTCTAAGCCTAAAAAGTTCTAGTGCTGCTTTAAACCAAGCAGAGATTTTGTACTTTGCCTCAACAACCCCTCCTTTTTTTTATTAGGGGATGCCTTCTCCCCCACATCGAGAAATGCTGCCATAAAAACAATAGGCAAGGCCRTAATTTAAAGAGAGAAAAATGTGATTATATAACACATCCTGCAGTAATCAATTTTACCTCCAATATCTGCTTTTGTTTTCAAAATGCTAAATAAACAATACATAATGCATCCCTCATCAGCCAAAACCATGAGGGCTCTGTGCTCAAATAACAGGAAACATATTCAATTTTCCTAACAGAAGACAGTTCATTAAGCTGTGCCACATCAAATAAAACTTTAATTTCTCCAGCATCAGAGTCGCAATGAAAGCAATTGAGGAAGATGAGCCATATGGTACTTCTATCAGCAAACACATATTGCTCATTCCCCCAAAGTTTTCTAATTCTGCTCCCCAGACCTGTGTAATATAGATAATGTGCTCTGAGCGCAGCAACCATGAGCTATCTGGTGTACACTTCTAATACTGTATTTAATGGGAAATAATGAATCATAAAAGCCTGCAGAAGACGGCTTTTGCTAACCTAAATCTCAGCTGTAATTTCATTGTTCTGTGCCTAAGATGCTGTTTGCCCTTTTCAAACAGCAGCAGTTGAACATAATTATGCTGCTACAAACCTGGGCTGCAAAAAGAAAGCCTTCTTAATAGAAGCAAGTTTTTATTAACTCTTGAAATCCTGAGCTTGGGGCAACTGCAAGCAGWGAGCTGCCTGTCGGGTTTTAGGGTTCATTAAAGCACACGTACACGTATATCTTGATTTCCACTGCGCAGYCCCACAAATTAAATTGATGATTCTCACATTGGGCCAAAAACGCAACAGGAGAAGGCTGTGAAAAATTAGGAAATCTTCTTGACATCRAGAAATCCGACACTTGTCTGCTCTAACATCTGTAAGTGCCAAAGTAAGAGGGGAATTGTTTTTCTTAAAGGTAAGTCAATTTTTCTTCTTCTCCTTCTTGCCAGATATAAAAATTGTGGTTAGTGCCTGGAGTAAAGGGCCCTCTAAACTTTATAGTGTTTATCCTCCATTTAGAAATCCGTAATGATCTATTTAATGATATCATAAGGTTAAAAGTTAAACAGCGCTGTGTTTTCTCTGCCCCTTTCTCCTCTGCCTTTTAGAAAGGCAGSTTTGCCTATCTCCGAGCGACGGTCGGTCGGGGTTGTTTTCTGAAGAAGACTATAGGTAAAGAGGCATCCATGTGTTCACACAGGAGGATTCATAAAGGCAGGGACGAGAAGATAAAGGTATTATTTTGACATGATGACCCCTGGAAAATGCCTTCGACTCATCCCAAGTAAGCCTCTTTCTTTCCTTCCTCCACCCTCTCCCCCTCCCCTCAAAATACRGGGCTAATTTAAAACATTGTCTAGATATGCTACTTATACATATTGAAAACATATTTTAGCGACTGTGTTTGTTTTGGCAATATATAAACCGAAGGGAAAAAAAAACCCAATTAAATTAAAAAGAGTGACTTTTAAAAGTTAGAGATTGCCTTTTAAAAGCTTATTAAAATCAGCATGTTAGATGTCTGTCTTTGAATTAGCTCCGAGGCTTGATTGCTTTCATTAAAGCTGCCTGTTTGGGTGCTGCTTGGTGAATGTTCAAGTCTGGATTTTTTCCCCTCTTCTCCCCCCTGCCCCAAGCTCCTTCTTACTACTTGTCAACTTGCATTTTCCCTCCAAATTTGAAAGCAAAACTTGGATTTTTTTTTTTTTTTTGAGAAGCTACAGCCACCCCCACCCTGCCTTCCCCCTTGCAAAACATCATGACCAAAATGACCAGCAACCCAAGCCAGAGAAAGACCAACAGGTAAAATTTATATAAAATATATATATTAAAAAATAGCTTAAAAAAAAAGACACACCCAAAATATGCACCGTGACCAAACCGACACCCCCCAAAAAAACCCGCCCCAAGCCTCCAAAAAACCCCAAGCTATCACATTGCTCATAGCCCATGAATGCCTTAAAAACAAATGTTTAAACAGGTTTTCTTTTTTTTTTTTTGAAGCGGCAGAAAACCTCTGCATGCTCCAATGGGTTACAATAACAATGCTCTATTGCAATGTAAAACAAGCTGGAGGAGAAAAAGGTGCTTTTTGTTACCATTTTATCAAAGCTGTTCATCTTCTAGCTGCAGGCAGCATTTTGCTGGAATTGCAGATATTTCTCTGTCCGGGCTCCTTTGTTTGTGCATCTCATTTGCATATATTTATCTCCAGCTGAGGGTGCTTTCAGCTYATTAAGGCCTCCCCTCGCATTATTTCATAAGCCAGCTGCTGGGAGGGATTTCACCTGTGGTGACTGAGAAAAGAGGGGTGAAAAAACCAAATTCTTCATTAAAAAAAAAAAAAAAAAATATTTCATAAGCCAGCTGCTGGGAGGGATTTCACCTGTGGTGACTGAGAAAAGAGGGGTGAAAAAACCAAATTCTTCATTANAAAAAAAAAAAAGGAAAACAAAAAAAACCCAACAACCAAGGAAATCTTCTGACTCTCTTCCCCTATAAATGGGCACCATTTGTGTTAAACAGCCTCTTGTCATGATAGATGCCTCCTGGGGTCAGGGGGGAAAGTTGATTTGAAGGTCAGCAGTAAAACAACAGACAAACCAGACGCCAAACTGGTTCCTTAGCTGTCGGTGGGAGCAGTGGTACAACCAGGTCTTGAACCTTTTTCAACCTCTAATAAAACAGGGGAAGAATCTGAAGTGGAGCAACCAGGCCCCAGAGGAAAAAAAAAAAAAAACAAAAAACCAACCCACAAATAATATCAATATCGAGCAGCAACGGGAAACAACGGGGCCACTCTCAGCGTTACGGGCACACTGCTATTGTTTCAAGAGCTGGGGAATTAATTCCACTTATTTATTTAAGGCGTGTCAACTCACTGCCTAAACCTGTTTCGGTGTCAAGATGAATAAAACTTTTATGGCTCATAAAATAGAGCCATTCATCTCCGTGGTCTTTGTGGTGCCTGGGTTGTTGGGGGATTTTTCCCCCTCTCCTCCTGGCAGGCTGAACTGGGCCAAAATCTCTGTGTCCCACGGCTACCAACTTGCTCATAGGAGCAAAGAAAATTTGGATGGGGCATCTCAAGCTAAACTTCTGGGTTTGATCAGAAATTGTAAATGTTAATTCATCATAGTCGGGTGCAACCCCCCACCTCCTCTTTTTTCCCCAGTCTGAAATCTACAATGAATTTACATCATCTATATGGAGCTCTGGACCAACAGGTAATAAAATACAATAAAACTTGCTTTTTATCAGGACTCACACACAAAAAAATCCCATTAATTATGGTTCATGACTACTCTAAACCAAATGTTCAAATAGTAGTTGGAAATGATGCATAAAATCTCAGCATGTTCTGATAGGTTATAGAGTCAGTGGTTTATTGCAATGTAAAACAAGCCACAGGAAGAGAGGGTGGTTTTGTTTACCATTTTCATCAAAGCTGTTCATCATCTTGATATACTTATGCTATAYTGTGACCCCTACATACGTTGCATTTCATATATTTATTTTCCAGGTTGTTGCCACTTTTGCTGCCTTTGCCTCTGAGAAGTCGAGTAATTCTCCATCGYCTTTGAAATATTTTCTCATCTGTGCTGAATTTCTGCCGACAAACCCACTGATAGACAYGGACTAAGAAATATTTATTATCATGGAGAAAGGTTTTCTTTTGACTTAATCTGAGGCAATTAGTACCTGAATAAACACAGACTAAGTAATCTACCTCCTCAAAAGGTAATTAGACTTGAAAAGCACTGTTTGGCTCTACCCAAGGAAAGCAAAACTTGATTAGAACGCTTTGGAGATTCGCTTTCATTTCTTCCCTTTTGCCCTGGAAAAYATTTTATAACATCCCAGTAACTTTTAATTTCTCCCCGTGCCAAACTTGGGGCCTCAGTTGGTTGTTGCCGTCCTTTTCCCCCACCTTCCCTAAATCTTTAACCCTGCTTCTCATTTTTCTTTGCCTCTAATCTAATCACYGATTCCTTGGCTTGGCCAAATAGTTAAAAATGTTAAGTGCTGCTCACAATTCCTGCTGCCTCCCCCTCGTATCTGTCTCTGTTTATGGAACAGGCCCTGGTTTCCTCCTGCTCTTGTTCAGCTGTAGGTCTGCAGGTCAGGAGACTGTAAATACACACAGAGCTGCCCCAACCCATAAATCTGAGCAAAGGGCAGCCCTATATATTCAGATAAGGGATGTAAGGGGAAGGGGGGGAAGGAAAAAAAAATTGAAAGAAGAGAACCAAGAGGCTCTGGGGGGAAGGAGGTGCTTTGCTGGACCTCAAACCCAAGGTGCATGCCCAACTACCTTGCAGGATGTTCCAGCCAGAGATGRATCCAAAATGTTCACCCTTCATCGCTGCCCACCCCCTTGTTTATATATAAATCATTGCAAAAAGCATTTTATTACCTTTGGGGCAAAGAAATTAAACACGAGATTTCGATGGCTTTCTCTGCTCCAGACCTTTGTTGGTTTATTTCCCGCTCCCCACCACCGCCCCCCCATTTTATTTCCTGCACCTCTGAAGCTTTCAAGGGAACAGTCCCCCTGTTATTGCTTCTCAGTTCCAAGGTCTTAGAATAAATAACATTGTTATTACTCACTTCACCAATTTCCAAGAAGAAATATTGCCGCAGCAAATGCGAGCAGCACTAATATTTGCAAAGTGATAAATGGATTGTTACATACCTTCCCGTCTGTGTGGCCTCCAGCCATCCTCCGCCCGGCTACGTCCCTCCTCGGGGTGGGAGGGAAGCTGCCTTTGAACTTAGCAAGGTCCAGACTCTCAGTGCCTTGCACCAGAGCCTGCCCCAGCCCCCTCCCTCGCTCTCTGATGGAGAGATAATTTTTAATGGACCATGCCAGAGATGGTACCGGGRCTGGGGGAGAGCCTGAGCCACGTACCGGGACTGGGCAGAGTGAAGATGCTTTTGGCACCCTGATTTCGTGGGTTCTGCTGGTTTTGGGTGCAGCAGGGAGAGGGGTGAGAGGTTTGGGATGGTCCCAGGAGAGAGGTGCTGCTCCACTGCCCTCCCCAGCTCACAGCTGCTCTGGTGGGGGTGACATCCCCGGTGTCACAACGAGAGCCACCTGTCCTCCTTCAGCTYTCAGTGATGTGAAAAGTAAACCATGAAAGGGTTGCAGAGGAGAAAAATTATTTTTCAATTTCACCCCACTCTACCTCTAAAATGTCTCCAGTGCCTGAAGTTCTCCTGTATACGTGAAATACCAGGGATACAGATGCTCAGTGGGGTGAAAACCGGAAAGAATTATTCCCAAACACCACCACCCTCACTGCTCATTAAATTTCATTRATTCACATGAAATTCTCAGAAAACTTCCTTAATCACAGTTGAGGTTAGGGAGGGGCTAAGGCAAGGAGCAGCCTCCCGGACTCCCTATCCCAAACCTGGTTGCTCACCACATAACTTCTGAGCTTAAAAAGAGATGGCATTGGAAAAGTCCCATGGAAAATTAAAAACAATACAATTTTGGATTTCTTTTTTTTTAAGCGGTGATTTATATCTAGYTCCGACATATGACTTGGGSTCCTTGATTTCMTTCAAAGAAAAATCTCCAAATCAAWTTATTCCTGGGCTGCAAGTCATGCTGAAAAAAACTACGAATGTGCGGCTATTAGAAACAAACCAACATTTTCCTTGAGACCCACAAAGAGTAGATTGAATCTGTTGCATTTCCATGTTGTGGCTCACAGGATAGGGGCTGGGAGGGTTTGGTTGGATGATCTGAATTCCTTGGTGGGATAAACACATTAGGTTATTCAGGCACCAAAGGTGATGTAAAAGCTTATTCTTCATGGGCAGAGCACAAATAATCCRTTCCAGGAGTATCATCCTCATTCCCCTGGTGCTGGTGTGGTGTCAGAATTCAAGGATCGTAGGAAGAAAATTATTCAGAAACTGTGGACAGAGGTATGAAAGGGTCAATCAGAAGAGAGCACAATAATATATCTGACACTTTTTCCTCCTGACCAATGTAAATACCATCTCTTCTTTWTTTATAAGATGAAATATTGAAAGGAAGGCCTCAAGTTGCAGATAAGGTGAGAAAGTCCTTCGGGATGGGCTCTCATGCAAAATAGATAAATTCACCAGTAACAAAAACCAGATAGTCTTGGTTTTTAATAAAAGAATTAATAGAATCATGTAATCATAGAACCATYAAGGTTGGAAAAGACCTCCAAGGTCATCTAGTCCAACMTTTATTCAMACCATCCAYAATACTGTCTCATAAACACGTGTGTGCATGTTCATGCAGCTGTAAATAGGCATGTGATTGTGTACATATATGTGGGCATGCATGTATACACGCAACAAAAACTCAGCATGCATCAAATGAAAAATAAAATAACCTGTAAAATTATTTAAGGAAAAAAGTGATGAAAGCAGGCGAGAGCTGAGGCAGCAGTATGGTGAGGAACCATCCCACTTCTTGGAAAGATCCAGAAACATTCCGAAACATTTATCAGCATCTTTCCTAACTTTGGGAGCAGGGCTAGGAGTGCCTCAAAACCATGATTCTTCAGGAGGTTCCTGTCAGGCAGGAAACCTTGTGAGAGCAGCATTGCTTGTTCTCTGTTCTGCTTCCAGCCCCAGAAAGCACACAGATAAGAAGAAAAATCAAAATAATTGAATATATACAAGACATCCACATTCGTATAAACAACTAGCTTTGAAAAGGGAAAAAAAGAATCAGGTCTTCATTTTTTATTATTTCATTTTCTCAAACTAAAAAAAAAAAAAAAAAAGAAAAAGAAAAAGTCAGGCAGTTCTTATTTTATCCAGACCAGTTCATAAATCCCAAGTCATAAATCCACATGATATCCCGGGCTGCTGGATTTTGCATTTGGAGCTCTGAAAGACTGATAGCTGAAAGATTTATAAAATCCCAGGTAGCCAGAGTGCTCCCTATTGGCTCCACATCTGAGAGGTCCCTGCATCCTGCTTAGCCCAGAAAGCTGGATGTATGGGATATATTGTGCTCAAGAAGCAGAACACCCCTCCCACTCCTATTTTCAGATGTGATGAAGGCTAAAATTTGATCATGTGAGGTGGATGGGCCCTGTTCAGGGACTTTGCTGTGCTGACATGGGGACAGCCACAAGCTGGGGTCACCCAAAGACTGTGGCCACCTTCTGCAAAATTATAGCAAGGTTTGTGTCACAGTTGTATGATTTACCTGACCATAAACTGCRGAATTGCTTCACATTTGAATACACACCTAATTTTGTTTCTTGCAATGTTATTGAACAGGAGTGACTGTTCAGGAAGAACAGGGGATCACCACCAGGCCAGAAGATGATGACACTTAGAGGAGAACATGACCAGCCCATAGCAAGAAAATGGTACCTGAGATGCCTCACATGAAGCACAGGTTGCAAATAATTCAGCCACCAAAGCTCACATTTCCCAAAGAGCACCAACAGACRATGATGTGAGGTTTTCCTCATCAGTTCAGTGGCCGCTGCACATGGGATTGTGTGTATTGGGGTGAAGGTCCCCCAAAACAGATCCTCTGTGTTATTTGTCTGTGTCCACAGAATGCTGAAAACACACTTAAATCCTCCCCTCCTTCTATCCTTCCCCAATGACCTTATTCGAACCTAATACTTTTCTCCAGACTTGTAATGACAGACATTTTTAATATGTTTCTGTTGAATTAATAAAAGGATTTTTTTTTAAAAAAACCCCTTCTTCTGCTGTTACAAGATTTGTTTTATAGCTGTAACTAACATCGTTGTTACTGAGAAATTAAATTATTTGCTTTATGTTTCATGTATTTTTATTCATGAGTCTGAATACATGGAAGTCCAGGAGGAAAATCCTCCTTCACCCTTCTAGGGAAGGATGGTGGAATCAAGCTGAGCTCTGCCTGTTTGGAGTTTTGTTAGAAGAACATTATCTGGTTAAATTTAGATAAGTTTTTTGCCTTCCTTCAGGAGGATGAATTTGCTATATTTGCTGTTTGGCATTTCCAGCACCCTTGACTCTGGCATTTGGTGCTCCATAGCCACAGGTTTTGGGAGCTTTGCCTCTATGAATATGCAAAAGTCCCCTCACTTTATCAGCACCGTTCATCCTGAAATGCTCAGATGGGTTTTGCTGGCTGCTCCTCAAGAAGATTGGGCTGGAATGAATTCCCCTGGTGCAGAAGAACTAGCAGAGCAGGGTGAAGGGCAAGCACTCACTCGTGTCTATTGATCACCCCTTTCACCCTGGGTTACCCCTTGAGGTACCTTTGGAAGCAGGAGGTTTCTTTCTCTTGCCAAACAGAGATTTGGGGTGCAGAATCTGATCGATTATGTTTTGCCATTTTAAATATGCAAGTCATCTTTAAGCTTCCTTTTATTAAAAGCATCTACAGAAGCTCTTTTCTTGTAATTCTGTTACCATTTCACTAATTAAAAACACTGTACAAGGACTGGTATTGAGCTATAGAAATGAAAGGTCAATACAYGAACAACACTTCATTTGTAAATAATCCAGCTCTGTAATCAATTATCTCATTTTCACAGAAGWCATATTAATCTACAAGCAAAGAAATGAGACATTTAGAGGATGTACAGAGGGGATCTTTAAATGTTAAATGTTCTTTAGCATGTGCTAAATAAAGRGTTTGGCAGAGTGAAAATGTAGCACACAGCATTGACACTCCAGGGAAAGTCTTTAGGTCAAGTGATTTGTACCTTCCAAATAGTTCTCCATAGCCCTGTAAAGCCTCTCTGTTGGTAGCAGKGAGGTGGGTGAGTGTTACTTAGGATGTTAATTGTAGCAGGGAAAATACAGCAAAAATTAGGGAAAAAAGGTGATCTGCAAAGAAACAGCTTATTATTTCCATCAAATGGAAAGAAAGGGCTCTTGCCAGTTCTGTTTGGTTACCCTGTACCCTTGTTTAGTGAATTTGACAACACAGAAGTGGTAGAAAAGCAGGGGATGAACGTAATTTCATTTTCACTTTGCCAGTTTCATTCGTCTGTTTGCGTTGGATTGGCAGTAAATCCATCCCAAGCTCGTCCCTGATTTCCAGTTCAAATTTTTATGTAATACATGTTGGGACTTAAGGGAAGAAACCTGACCCCAGCATTCCCAACTCTCCCCACACTCAGTTCTCATCATTCTCTTCATTTCCTCCCATCCCCTGCCTTGCCCTCCCTTATCCATGGCTGGGTGGGAAGAACGAGGAATGGAGCTGTGGGAGCAGCCCCACCAATGTGAGCCCTTGCACAAGGGGAGGCTCTCCCTCCCACTCCCCTTTGCCACACTTCCTGCTAGCCAGATCCATTACCTAGGCTGGGTTAAAGCTAAAAAAGAAAAAAAYAGGAATAGAGAATTGTTTTCAGCAGACTTCACAAGCCAAAGTGGGCTGGGGAAGGGTGGAGGTCGGGGAGGAGATGCACCCTTTGGCATCAGCAGGACTTAATGTTGACTCTGATATTTTGCCTCACTCCCCTCTGTACTCATTTTACAAACAGAAACACACCCTTGTCACATGTTGRWTAACYAAGGCACCATCCCAGCTCCCTCCCRATGGCCARGGGCACYRGACARAAGAGCCAAGACCACCAACAGCACCGGTGGGGAGGAGGAAAGGGCAAGCCAGGGATTTAGAGGGGCTTGATCCCTCTGTCTCTGCTTGGCTGATACCATGGGAAAATCACCAGCAGCACCAAATTCCTCATGAAAGCATTTTCTGGCTTGAGCAGCAGGAAAACCGGTGTATGGAAAGGCAAGTAGCGAGATGGCAAGGAAGGAGCCCTATCTTTGCCATAATGGATATTGCAGTGAAGTGTGAAGAWATCCACGTCTTCTGTAAGAATAAAACTTAGTTTTAGAAGGAAAAAAAGACCCCTAAGCCTAAATATTTCCAGGTTTTCCCACCCCCGTGGGTTTGGTGCAGGCTGTAGCTGCTTGACCTGCAGGGCCTTTCAAAGCTCTCTGCRAGTCTTTGTGCCAAAATAAATGTTACTTTACCATCAAGTAGGCAGAAGAATGAAAACTGTAAGATGTGTGACTGAGAAAAAAAGAGTCCAAACAGGAAAAMCCCTTTCTTCTCTTTTAAAAGTCCTGGATGATCAAGGCTGTTCTGCTCACTCTGATTTAATCAGTTTGCAGATTCCCAAACACACATCCAGCCATGGAAAGTGCTCTCCCTTTGATTCCAGCAAAATCCTTTCTAATTCTCTTTAAATGTTCCAGGGCTTTTTGAAATGATTGCTATCAATGCCAACCAAATGCCTTAGATCTCTTTTTTTTTGGTTTGTTTTTTTTTTTTTTTTTTTTTTTTTTTTTTTTTTTTTTTTTTTTTTTTTTTTTTTTTGCCTGTCTTTAAGTACTTGCCTTATTTCTATGCAACCCAGTTACAGCTGTACATGGAAAAAGTATCTAGAAAACAGATCTGGTTTACTTTAGCCTTTATGCCATATAGGGTTAGACACTTTAACTTTCTTTACATTAACTTAGTTGCTTTAATATGATTTCTGTAACCCYCATACTTTCTTTTTTTTCCCATATAACTTATTAAATATTTATAATACAGTAGCCCATACACATTACATAGGTTGGACTTTTATTACATTGGGCTCGACAGAGCTATCCATTAAATCATAAATTATGTTCCTCCTAAAAGTTAAAAACCAGGATTTTTCAGTTGAGCTTGGACTGAATTTGTGAGGGACCAGCTTAAAAAAAAGATGAGCTGGTTAAAACAAAAGATAGATTTGGGAGAGCAAGATTTGGGGCAGCTTTGGGTTATGTGATTCTTTCTTTTTTTTCAATTTTCAGGGTATTTTTTTAAACTCGAGTTTTTTTAAACAGCAAATTAGGGATTATTTTACATTTGCCTGGACACTGCTTTTCTCCTTTCATTGTAAAATGCCATGAGGAGAATCTAGAAGAAAACCAACAGACAGGCGAGTCATAAGAAAGCCCTGCCAGTAGTGGGACATTTTACCTTGCAGTTGGCCTTAAAATATGACAGATAAGTAAAACACATGGAGAGAGCAGATTTATTTTTTCCCCTACWTATTCCTTCCTCATTTGAAAACTTCCACTGGAATCATTTAGAAGCAAACAAGATGCGTACTCTGCTTCAGCTGGAAAGTTTTGTTTGATTTCTTTGTTGCGAACGAAAACTTTTTGCACATTTGACTTTTTTCCTCCTCATTCTTCTCACGTTCCACACCATTTGGAGTGCTAGGATGGCACAGATTCATGATGCTGCTGCTTCTTCCMTTGCCATTTCTCCACTCAGTCCATCCTTATGATGAGCCACAAGGATGTGAGATTTCTCCCCAGCATGAGCTTGTATCCCTTGCTGCTGCTCTGATGCCTCACACACTTCACCCCACTATGATGTGAGAGACACAGCTTTGAAAAAAAAAACCAAAACCTTTGGAGTTAATTTTTTTAAAAAAAGTCTTTATTTTTTTTTTAATTCCTGTTCCTCTTCTTTCTCACTCTCCTTCCTTTTCTCTAGCTCCCTTAATTTTACCCTGGCTTTCTCATGAAACTACATGAAACAGTATATTTGCCTCTTTGTGTGGTTTCAAGGCTAATTGAAAAAGATGATGAAGCTATTTATTTGAGAGGAAGGTAGGAGGAATTCTTCTTTTTCTCATCTTGAAAATGCTCTCTTGGATGTTGAGTTGGGTTTTTATTTCAATTATGTCACACAGCATAAAGAAATTGCAGACCATGATCCAACTCCCCACATTTTTGCTGTGGACTGCCCAAACACTGCACACACACCATAAAAGTAGAAGGCATTTATACCCAAGGGATTGAACACAATATTGGTCTGAGAGAAACCTGCTATTTGCAAGTGGAATTGTTCAGGTAGGCAACATATGCAGATGCAAAAAAGGAGGAGGTAGCCAGATTGTGGGAAAAATTAAATTATTAGTTTAAACATGAACAACAAAAAGAACAACAATAATAATTATAAACAACCAAGAATACTCATCACCAGGACCTAAAGGTGAAATGACAGCAGACAAATATAGCCTAGAGGAAGACTGTCTTTCAGTCAAGGTTTCTATTGGAGTTAAGGCTGAAATCAGCCTGCTCTGTCCAAGTCATATAACATTTTTATAYAGGAAGATGCTGCTGACTGTAGCCCTGGACACTGTGGGTGTCAGTGAGATGTCAGTGGTGTTTATGGACAGGGTCTGAGGCTGGGATGTGCCATGGGGGAGGTGGGTGGATATCAGGAATGATGGGCATGAAGCCCTTGGAGAAGCAAGACCTTCTGCTGGCTTCAGCACACTTGCTCCAGCCATAGAAATGGGAAAATACAACAGATTTTTTTTTTTTTTCAATTGAAAGGCAAGCAGGAGATTGTGATTTCTCCCACCTTCCCCCTATTGAGCATGAAGAATTGCTACCCAAACACCTCTTTCCCAGAGCTGTCCTTCTTCACACATAACAAATACACTTTTTTTTTTCCCTCAAAATACTTCAGCAGACAAATCACAAGCTGAAGTTAAAACTAATAAAAAGACCTCAAAAAAACAGCCCTTCCCAGTAGYACAGGTTAAGAAGCACTTGTTGCTACACTCATGTCCCACACATGAACTTTGCTGCTCATGTTTTGCACCACCCATAYTGAAGCTCCACTGTCTATTTTCCTCCTCCCAATTTCTTGTTTTTTAAAAGCAATTTTGTT